ATCAAATATTTGGACAAAAAATTTTTTTTATCAAATTTTGGGGCCTTTTTCATAATAATATGCTCTTTTTTATGTATCCCCCAAAAAAGTTCTAAGAAAATTGTTTTCATGTTTATTATACTGTCAGATTTTATTATGTAAGTAAAAGTTTTCACAATGAAATTGGTATTAACTGATTTTGGTAGAATATTCATTGTGAATTTCAACTTAAGTTTTCATTAGAAATATTTACAATAACTTGATTGGTGTGAGCTTTTATTATGCAACTTGTGGATTGTTCCTCTTTAATTATATAATGGTATAATTGTTTTTTTTTAATTTCAGATATATATATATATATATATATACATATATATACATATACACATATATATATATATATATATGTATGTATGTATGCATGTGTATATGTGTATATATATATATATATACACACACACACACACACCCACCCCAACCTTTTCTGCTTCTGTGGTTTCCACCAATAAAGGTTGGTGTTTCGATTTTTTAACTGTGTATTGAGCATTTTTTAAATATAACTACTTCCTAGGCAAAGGTATACCTTGTTTGTAAAAACAGTTTATTTATATATATATATATATATATATATATATATAGATTGATATAGCTTGTAAGAAAGATGCCAAATATTCTAAAGTTATTGAGTAATGGTAACACTATTTTGGAAATAGTCAAAGAAAAAACTGGCCTTTTTAAAAATGTCATGAAAAATTTTTGGAAAAAAATGAAAATGGTAATACTAGCCATTTTCTTATAAGGAAACATTCAGCATTCATTGACCAAGTAGCCAGTACTATTTTTGGTTGAAATTTATAAAATCTTTCCCTTAAAACAATTGTTTGGAAAAATAGGTTTCTAAAGTTCTTTAGCTATTATTGCTCTTTCCAGTGGGGGACTTCCTTCTTAACCTTTTTGTTTGAGGTAGTGTGGGAAGTTACCTTGATTATTTCACTATTTTCTCTTTGAGTTACATGTGATATTCATTTTAGTTGCTGCTGCTTTTGACAGTCCTCAAGTGATGTGGTTTCTGTTATTTGCTACAGTTCTTTGTGATTTTGTAGCATCAGTCCTCAAAGAAGAATGGTTCTCTCATGTTTCATTCATTCAAAGCCATTTTTAACTACTGGTCTTAGAAAGTGGTTGTATACAGCACCATGTATGACATCCATATGAAAATCTAGATCTGAGAAGGCTTATTTAAAAACATGACTCAAGTTTTTAGGTTAATGTTTTAGTTTTGTAGAAATTTGCAATGTTGATCAAATCTACCTCTGGCACATCCTCTTCTACAGAGTCACTCAGTTCTTTGAGGACATCTGCATGAATTTACTAAAAGATGTACAAGTCATGAAAGCTTTATTTGAAAAAAAATTGGCATGAATTATCTTGACACATCTTCTTAATGAATCTGCTGTTAGCAATGATGTCTTCAATACAAGGTCTGAAAAGTTAACATGTTTGAATCAGATGATTATTTATTTTGGCCTTTGTGATAGTTATGGTGGATTTCAGAGATATTTTAGTAATACTAATATTGATTGACTTTCCTTGCAACCATGCCCCATATATAGTAGTCCAACAGACTCAGGCCTGGAGGGCTAGGAGGCCATATGTTTGGGGTAATATGATCATGGAGATTGTAATGCATCCATTCTCAGGTCATCTTGACTTTAGGAGGCAATGTAGTCTTGTTGAAAGGTGCATAGTTTTCCTTTGCTCATGCTCTCTATGCAAGGCCTCACAACTCTCTCCAACACCTTCTTATAGTAATCAGCATTGAGGAAAGAAGTGAGGAGACCTTACATTTCCCTTGTTGCTCATAACTCCCAGAACCATCACAATTGCTGGAAACTTTGTGTTCATGACCACTGGATTGTCATTAAGGTTTCTACATAACCATCAGTCATTCCTTTGTTGACCATTTGACCCCAAACAAAGTTTTTCTCATGAGAAAACTCAAAATATTCCAGATTCCTGGTATTTCAAGTTGCTCAGCAAGTACTTTGTGTGGATCAGGCAGTTATCTTTTGTTGTTGGAGACAAATTGACCTATCTGCATCACATAGGACTTGTGCCAAAAGTTTTTTATGCACAGTTCTTCTGATAGTTCTTTGAATCTTTATGCTGTTTGGCTTCACTAATTTCACTTCCAATTTTCTGGAGATATTGGTTTATCAGAACATTAACTAGACTTTTTTTTTTATTTTCTTTAATTTTTTAGTATTCTTTCTTCCATTTTTGTTTTAGGCATTCTTGGAATGGTCTCACATGATTTAGATAATGAAAATATGATAGAATTCCTTAATTTAAGTTATTTAGAGACATCAATTTGGACTACAGTTTATTACTGAATTCTAATCTTACACTTTCATTATAAGGGCTTGGATGTTGTAATTAGGTGTCTGTTGTAATTTATGTGAGCAGAAGTGGGCTATTTTATTGGGTGGTGTTGTCAGTTTAGTTACAAATAGTCTTTTGTTAGATTCAAAGTTGGAGTTGTATACTCTAATATCTGTTGCAAGTGTCCAACATGCTGAAATCAATCTTTTTGGTTACATTATCTGGGTTATACCATGTGTTTAGGATGGAATATCTTTTTGAATAACAAAAATTTAATAAGAGTGCTTCATTACTGTTTGAGGCTTCTGTTTCAAAGCATGATGTCTTGCCATCAAATGAGTAGTGACATTCAAAAATATTTGAGGTGGCATCATTAATTTTTTTCTTTTTTTTTTTTTTTTTTTTTTTATTTTTTTTTAGTACAGAGTTTAGTTAATCCACTGTAGAACTTTCCTTTTTCAGAAACACAAACAGCATCAGAACCCATCAGTCTTTCTGACAGGTGTAAGATATTATCTATTACAATATGTAATGACTTGCATATTGCAATTCCAAGTTCATATTGTCTTTTTTTCCTTTAGGCCAGCCTATTATGAATTGTATCCCAAATGTGCAATGGAGTCACTACTAAGTTGACACATTTCTTGCATACAGGTTTGCATTTTTGCATTATTCTAAAATGAAGTCTACTCTGAAATCATCTGATCCTGACTGGATGTTGATTTGTCTTACTTGAAGAATTGCTTTCAGTTTTGATTTTTTTTTTTTAAATTGTTAATAAGTTAGATGGTTGACTAGACCTTTCTTTACCAGTAGCAGATTTTTACCTTAGCCTGGTGTGTTAACAAGGGGCACATTCCCTGGTAACACTTGACTGATGATGTGGTGTTCTATTAGATTTTTAGGAATTCTTGTGAGGTCAATGCACATAAAATTAAATCTTAAGCAATATATGACTATACATTGACAGGCATAATTCAACTTAGTACAAATTTCACACAGCCCTATTTAAGGGAAATGGGATATCCAAACTATTTGAAAAAGTAGTAGATATATTTGCTAAATTGTTTCATTAAAAAAAAAAATTACTCTTTGCTGTGGTGGTGAGAGTATGGTATATAGATTAAAAATGCAAAATTAAATTGTCATAAACTATGATCCATAGAAAAAAAGTATATTAAGAAAGAAATGTAAATTGACTAGCAAATAAATAATTGAAGCTGATGCTGCAAATGTAAACAGAAACTAAGATATTAAGAAGATTGGCTAAAGATATGAAAGCAACTGAACTATCACCTTTAACCTTTTGAGCCCTGACCACCACTTTACTAGTGGTAGAGAAAAATGACTTAATGCCCAGCCTCCAGTTGAATGGTGGGTAAACGCTTATAACTATCTTTATATATACCATGAAACATCACATATTTTTATTGACTTTATTTTGACTTGAGAACTCAGGCAGAAGGGTTAAAATTAGGAACGCAGGGCTCAAAGGATTAAGTAAAGATTACAATGGGAGATGTGTAAGGTAGGCAAAGAAATACATAGAAATAAAGTGGTTCCTCAACATTAATTTTTAATGATGAATGTAGAACTGATGATCAGGTTAGGAGTTGGGTCCTTCATGGAAATAAACAGCATTACTGAGAAAACAATGGGGGAAATTTTTTCCTAGTATTATGGGCTGTATGAGTTCCTTCAAAGTTGGTGATTCTAAGATAAATGCAGAGAATTATTGTAATTACTTGGATAAGAATTTTTTTTTTTTTTTTTAGTGGTACAAGAAATTTTAAGCAAAAGTGTAGATTGTGCAAAGCAAATCTCCTTCATATACTAAGCTGACTTGCAAAAGAAAAAATTTTCAAAGACATCAAATTAATGGAATAACCCTCATCCTCCCCAGATATTAATCTAGTAGAAAATTTGATCTATCATTAAGAGATGTATATGAAAAAAGAAAACAATATTCGATCAAAGAGCCTGTATTAGCTTATGAAATAATTCAAGTGATATAATGAAATATGCATACACCTGTATTCCACCTCACTGGAATATGATTGGCTGGTGTCCGTCATAAATACAGATGGACATGTAGGTACGACAGAGTTTAAGTCTGACAACACCCATTGGACTACGCCATTGGCCAATCCTATTGGCATACACCTATTACCTGCAACTATGATGAGTACCAGTCGATTACTGCTACTGTGTACTACTTGGTTACAGTAGCCAAACCACTTAACTACTTCGATCAAATATATCCCTTTCCGGGACATATCAAGTTATATGGAATATTATGCTAGATTTACCAGGCTAATATCTTGGTTTTATAAATAAACTTTTGCATGCATAATAGAGAAACTAAAGTCCACAAAACAAATTAATATTTTTAGTAAAGATTTATATTATAAACTCAATGACATGATATAAACATATCTTGAAAATTTTACCAACATCAGTTGGTTAATAACACTTTAATTCTGAGAACCTTGTTGCATAATGAAACCTGATATAGTGTACATAACTAACATATATTTGTCACTTTTTTCTTTTAAATACTTGCAGAGTGAGTTATGTTAATTCAACTTGAATCCTTGTCATGTACTGTGTAATAATGTAAAAATTTTATTTTTTTATAGCAGTCTGTGTCTTCCTCAGCTCCTGCTATTGATACTTCTGATATGGACCCTGAGCTAGCCCGTTATCTCAATAGAAATTATTGGCAGCAAAGATCTGAGCAAGGCACTGCCCCAGCAGCAACTACTCCATCTGCTCCTGTAGCCACTACAGAACCAAAGACCAGTATAGTAAAAACTCATGAAATTGTAAGCTACATTTTTTTCCATTCTTATATTACTTTATTTTTTTATTTATTAAATTTTTTTTTTTTTTATCTATATAAACATATTTACTTACATGAAAAATTTGAAATTTTCTGATTGCTTTCCTCGTAAAATAAAAAATTTCAAGTTTAGAACATAAATCTTTAAATGAAAGTAATATTTATTCTGGTTATAAGATTTTAAATATGATAAAGTAGGAAATTGAGAAACATTACTTCACAACAATATTTAATTTAATAACTTTAGTTAATAGTACAGACAGTTTCTATTCATTTTGTACTCATACTTTTGGGAAAGGCATGAATTCATCTCTTAAATACTTGGTCTGAATTCAAAGTTATCTTTCTCAAAGACATTTTAACAAGTCTTAATTCAAAGCCACGAGGGAAATTTTTCTCAGTAATCATTTTAATAATACTATTCAGAGATAGTAAAAAGATGGTGCTTTGAAGATCCATGATATACTATGTCCAGAAGAGACATGGCACTTGAGAAGGAGGTTTTTACAAAAAAAAAAACTAAAATTAGTGTAGAATTTGGATTTTAAATTTATTTTTTAAAAAATTCTTTAATTACTTTTTGCCAGCCTTATCAAAATGGGGAAACTGATGATGACCAACAACAATTTCTGAATGCTCTGCAGAGTAGTGTAGAAATTTTTGTCAACCGAATGCGCAGTAACTCTCAGCGTGGACGCAGCATTACTAATGATACTTCTGTGCAATCTCTCTTCAATGTCATTAGCAATATGCACCCGCAGTTATTGAAATATATCCAAGAGCAGGAAGATGCCAGGAGTAAGTAGTGGTTTAAGCCTTTCTTTCTCTCATACACATTTCCTGTACTTTCTTTTACTGGTATTATTCAATCACACAATGTTAGCAGAATCAAATACGTTTTTTTTTTGTTTTTTTTTTCCACAATTAAAAATCTAATTGTTAAATACTTTTTTTTCCTGAAAGTTTTCAGTTCAAATAATAATTTTGTGTCAATCTTTAATCTTCATACCTGCAAAAGAATGTTATGTCAAAAGGATGGTTTTTCCCTTGACACCTCTATTATTTTAACTACCTTCACTCCTTGGCAATGTTTGATTTTTAAAAAAAAAAGTGAGAATTAGAATTGTAATAAAACCTAAACATATGAAAGTGAATTTATACATTTTATTTTTTTGTTCTTGAGAATTTACAACAAAAATATTAAGCACTATTTATTTATTTGATTGTCTATTTACAAGAATAATTTCATATGTACAACACTCGGAAAACTAATACAATTGTATTAAAACTAGGTACCACCACAGAAGACGCAATACCTAAGGTGTAAAATGAATTTTTAAAAATGAAAAATCTTTCTTGAAGCTTTTATTTTAATTCAAATTTCAAGCTAATAGATTAAATTTTAATATTTCAAATAAGCAAAATACTTTGTATTTCAAAACTAATTTAAATTGACAGGAAGGAGTTTTGTTTTTCTAAAATAACTGATTAGCCCCCTTTTTTAGTTGTCTTTCATTGCAATGTAATTCTCTTTTATTAAAAAATCTTCCAAAAATAAAACATACTTTTCTGAAAATATTTTCTGGAATATTAGCTAATTTAAATCTGATTTGAAACAAATATTTACTTTGAGCTTAAAATATTGCAGAAATGCATTCTTTTTTTTTTTTTTTTAACACAGCAGTAGCTGTTTTTAAACTGGTGTGTTTGGCAGCTTGATATTTATCTAATGTTGTTCTATGGGGGGCTTTAGCAGTAAAAAAATAATTGAATTAACATGTGTACTCAAATTTTAAGTATTCAGTAATCTGAAAAATTTAAGAAAATATTCTCTGTAATCTAATGTTTTATTGAATTTTAGATACTTTCTGGCTTTACATTTACTATAGTTATCGCTTTTATTTTCTGATAATGTTGTTTATTTACAAAAATTGGCATGTTTATATACATAAAGAAAAACTTTAAAAATATTGGTGTTTGGTGATTCATACTAAGTTTTTTGATTTCTCCATTAGTAAATATAGTTTTTACTTAATAATATCATCTAAAAGGCTGAAATTAACACTGAATTTTAAGATTTAAAACTTAAATTATTATAATTAAAATTTTAAAAATGTGAAAACAATTCTTGTGAAAATTCATTCATCAAAAAAAATTTTCCTAAAGACAATAGTGTCCTTAATATATCTTATTTATAAAAGCAATTAAAAGCTTTTCTAATTAAATAATATCATAGTTTTCTGTTTTTATTTTAAAATTCAATACAGATTTTTGATAAGTGATGTTTGTTTAACAAAAACAAATTTAATGATTTAAATTCTCCAAGGAATCCTGCTTTTAACTAATGTAAATATGAAGAGGGTGGAATTTTAATTTCTTAATTTCATAAAATTAAGTGGGTGTATCAGATGAAAAAAAAAATCTGAAATAATTTCATTCATTTGTGAATAAGTCTTGGAAGTTTCAATAAAAACCGATAATTATTTGATTTTTGCCTGAATTTCCAAATCAGTGTGTTTTTTGCTGCAAAAAAGATGGTATAATTTGCTATACTAATTTCTAGTCTATCCACTGATACAAGATTTTTAATCAAAATTTCAAATGTTTTAAAGTATTAAAAAATTTAATAAAATAACCAAATTTGGTCTTTCTTCTGAATAAAGATTTTGACACCAAAACTTAGTTTTTGGCAAGTTTGGGGCATATTTTCATCAAAGTAGGCTGTTTTTTTTTTTTTTTTTTTTTTTTTGCAAATTTGTAGACAGACTTAATTTTCTATATATAAAATATTAGCACATTCCAACTATTCATAATCAAAAAGGTTTTTAAATTCTTTATCAAAGTATTTTCATTTGTAATTACCTGCCCAATGTTGTGACTAAATTTCCATGTTTATCATTTTTTAAATTCTTTCTTGTATTTTCAATTTATTTTATGATATGCAGAAAGCATAATATATAAATTTTGTTTGTTAATGGTTCATTTTCAAAGTTCCTTGATTAAAAATTGTCTGAAAAAGTATGATTTTCTTGGTTTATTTATTAAAGCCAAATTAGGACTTACAATTAGATACTAATATTTTTGTCTTTGAACCTTCATTTTTCTTTCAGGTTTTCTTAACCAGCTTAAAAAAAAAAAAAAAGAGCATGTTTAAGTTTGTTTCAAGTGTACATGCATGTGTACTCCATTTATTAAAAGCCTGCTATTATTGGTGAGAAGTAAGAATTTATTTTAAGAGATTAGTTGCTTTTAGAAATAATAAAATTTTAATACAAAAATTTTGTATCAAAAGACCTAACCAGTCATCCAAACTAATGTTATATTGTCCCTGGGGTGACAGGATGTTAATGTTGAGGCTTGTCTTTTACATTTAAAAAAAAAATCTTACAAGAGAAGCTGTCACTAATGTTTTTGTTTTTTTATTATTATTAAGGCCACTATGAATCACTACAGGATAAACTTGCTCAGCTGCGAGATGCCCGTGAAGCACTTGATGCTTTAAGAGAAGATCACCGGGAGAAACGGAGACGGGAACAAGAAGAACAGGAACGTCTCCGACAAATACAAATGTCACAGAAACTGGAAATTATGAGGCAGAAAAAACATGTAAGTTTCATGTTTTGTTTCTATGTTAACATAGTCAATTATATGTGCTACTTTTTTAATAGTTCATTCATTTTTAACAAATTTTTCTTCTTCCCCAAAACTTGTATAGTGCAATTGCATAACTCCCCTTACTATCAAAGTGATCTTTGTGATTTGCCAGTTGAATTTTTATCAAAGTTGACTTTGTTCAATAAATATATTGACTATCATTTACATTGTCTGGAATAAAAACCTTTTCTCCCATAGAAAGGCCAAAGAATGGATCTACTGAAATACATTAAAAAAATAAAATTCAATAATCCAATAAGGACTCTTGTCAAAATTACATATTACTTTCAGAATGACTTTTAAAAGTGGAAAGATATGGAGCATATTGCAAATATAAGCCAACTTTTTAATTTTTGTGACATATCAGCATAGACATATTTATAAATATTTAAGTTTGTCACTAAATTTATTCATATTAAACGTTACAAATTTTAATCTGGATGTCATCACTTTTATTCCTTTTTAGGAATACCTAGAAATGCAACGGCAACTTGCATTTCAACGTTTACATGAACAAGAAAGAGAATACCAAATTCGGCTGGAGCAGCAGAAACATTTGACTCAAATCAGGCAAATGCAGGCATATGGTTATGGCCAGGTATATTAGCTTATTGCTTTATTTTATTGAGGTTGACTTTCATTTTTGAAATAAGATTTTATCAGTCTTGTGTTATAAACTAATTTACTATTCATTTTACTATTTGAAATTTGTTCTAAAAATTATACTAGAAATATCCAGATAAAATTATGACTTTAATAGGAAATTATATAAAATTAAGCTTTCTTTTTTTCTCTTAATGCAAATTTCAAATAATAAAAAAAACAAACTTGTAGTTGCTTTCTTTTGTAAATGCAACAGTGCTGTGTGTAGTTTTTACTTTTTAAAAAACATTGTATTGTATAAAAAGTCATGAGAAATACTTAATGTTTTGCATATTAGAATAATTTGATAATTTTTAATATAAAGTAATTTTATAAATTTTTATAATGCAATATTTTATATATCAGTTATATAATTTAAAATGATTAAGAATACAAACTCTCATCCTTTTTGATGCTTAGTTTTATTTTCTTCAGTATTCTGGAAAATTGGGTCAGTTGCATATTTCTAAATAAGATTGTTTTTCTTCTGTTGAAATTAATACACATATTATATAAAGTTTTTACAGATTTTGATGTAAATTTTAGAACCTTTTTAAAAGTTTTCTTTATAGTTGGATGTTTTCTGATGTAAGGAAATTAGTTTTATTCAATGAAAAGTTTGAACTGTTCCAATTTAATCTTGTTAAAGATAAGAATAATTAAAAAAATATTAACAATTTATTTTGGTCTCTGAAGACTTATTTTTAAAAATAAAAAAAAAAACAATGTAAATAATTAAGCATATGAAAATATTCATTTGTTAATTTGAGACTTACATGTTCAGTATAGGAAATAGCCTTTTAGATTTGAGCATTCAGTTCTAAGTTTTATTATTGATTTATACAGTAGTTCATAATTCAAGAAGATATATTTACCTATTACTTCCTTTATGCTTCATGTTAAACAATAAATTGTGGTTACTTATTTATTACTAAATAACATTCCTGAAAATATTTGGTGGCTTGCTTTTTATATATATATATATATATATATATATATATATATTTCAGAGCCCATATACCGCTCAAAACTTCAACAGCCCTGGCAGCTCTTTGGAAAACTCTCCAGTTCACCAAATGCACCAACAAGGTTATGTAGGAGTTGGGATGATGCCTGGCCAAGGAGGGCCGCCTAATATGGGAGCACCACAATCTATGCCAGGTGGTGGTGGGGGCCCAAGCCAGATGTACCTACAACAAGCACCAGGACAACAGCAACAACAACCTATTCCCAATCCTGCTGCATATAACCAGCCAGGTAGTGGACATTATCCCAATCCTGTAGCCCCACCTCCACAACAATCAATGCCACCTTCCACAGCCTACCAACAGCCTCTCTCTACAGATGTCATACAACAAGCAGCACCAAATTCTTATCAGCCTTACAATTCTGCATCCAGTCAGCCTTCAACTGTACCCCAGATATCCTCAGCTGGCCAGAACTATTCAATCCCCAGCTCTGAATATTCATCATTAAGTATGCAAAGTAAGTATTTGAAACATTTGAAGAGATATGCATTCTCTCTCAGAGCATCATGTTTTAATTTGTTTTTTTTTTCTACAGATGTAACAACTATGAATTTTTGTGTGTAATATTTAGTTTATTATATATGAATATGTGCACATGCACACACATATATGTACATTGGATAATTATATACAGAAAAAAAATACATTTTGAACATGTATAACTTAGAATCAGATGGAACATTTTGATGAAATTACTCAAATTTGTAAGGAAAATATCTCCTCTTTATATGCCCTTTACTTTTTAGAGAAATTTTTTTTAAGTCAAAATACAACTGTTTTAATTTTAAATGTATAATAAAATAAAACCTTGTAGTTGTCTTCTTTTCTAAGTGAAAAGGTGAAAAACTTCTTAAAACATGTTTACTTTTGCTTTAATAACCAAAAGGATTGCATTTATCTCTTAAAAGTTTAGAATGTTTGAAAAAAAATGGTCCATTTTTGATGTCAGCTGCTCAGAAGTGTAGCATTATCACAGAACAAAATCAGTCTATTTACTTACATTTTTATGGACAATAAACATTGATGTGCCAAAAAATCATGGGATAATTGCCTAGTATAGTGTAGATGTGTAAGTGATGTAATGAATAACAGCTCAGAATGAGAAATTGGAGAGCCAAATTTGAATTGCACATAAATGTCCTTGGAAATGGTAGGAATCCACCTTCTCACCCCAGTTATTGGTTAAATAGTAGGACATGTATCTGGAAAAAGTCGGTTATTCTTGAAAATTGTTAAAGCAATATTCACCCGCAAAAAATTCTTACAATCTAAAATAAATTTTGGTTTTAAATAACCCACAAAGTGTTGATAAGCTGTAAAATAACAAATCAATTAATCTCTCTAGTATGGTAAAAGACTTCCTCTAGCCTGGTTGAAGTGCAGCATCTTGAAGTGACATTGATTCCATAGTCAGATCTCAGGAGAGATGTTTAGTTATATTGTCTTAATTAGCTGTTCACAGCTCCCTGATATTTGCAGATGCAAGATCTTGCATGTGAATAGACTTCTCTACCATGTTTTATAACTGGAGTTAGGTAGGAACCTCCACTGAATTTTTGATACCTAAAGTTTAAAATTAATTTTTAATAATGAAAAAGCATTCTTGAAGATTTCATTTTAGCTTTAATTGAAAGCTAAATGATTAAATTTACTATTTCCAGTAAGTAAAATATTTTAGTGTATTTTAAGTAAAAATTATATAAATTGGAATCTCAACTTTTCGACTGATTTAAGAAAAAGTGGCCATTTTCTTAATTTTAAGAAATTTGTAAACAAAACAAAATTATCGATTTTTTTTTTTTTTTTTTTTTTTTTTTTTTCAAAAATTTTCCAAAAACAAAATATGCATTTGTGATACGCCACTTGAGTAAAATTAGAAAAATTTAAAGTTAAGTTAATCTGATTTGAAACAATTATTATTTATAGCACAAAAAATATCGTATACAAGCACTTCTTAACAACAGGCCTTCTTTATCTTAGGTCTTTATTGACATTATCGACATTACCAATAAGTTACAAGATGATGACAGCTAGTATGGCTGACTAGAATTGACATAAATTCATGAAATCTAAGTGAACACATTTGTTTTACTTTTAACTACCTATTAATTTTTTCAAATTAACATATTTTTAGCAATTATCTAATATTTTATGGACTTTTAGTTACGTTTAAAGATGCTTTATGAAAAAATAATAATTTAAAATAATATTAAATTTTCTTAGATTAATTCTAAAATTTAATAACTGACATAAAATACCATGATAGAAGTAAAAATCAACAATTTATGAAATGTAGTATTTTATTTATTGTTATGATAGTTATTTTATTATTAAATTTTTATAGTATTTAAATTTAAAACTTACTTTGAAATTTTGAAGATGTTATTGAAACAGAACTGTATAAGGAAAGTATCAGACATTTAAATCATGTGATCTTTTTAAGGATTACGTTGTGTATAACTTCCCATAGGCAGAAATTGGGAATGTTCTATACGCTAAAAATTATTTTTTTAAATTCTTTTAAAAATATATTGGCTCAAATGATCGTTATGAGCCTTTCAGTCTTTGATTCATAAAATTAATTTTCACTTAACAATATCACTAAACTGCCACCTTGAAAGCAATGAAGAATTTTAAACAATTTTTTAATATTATAAATTGTTAAATTAAAATTTAAAAAAAAAAAATTAAAACAATTCTTATAAAAATTAATCATTCATTAAAATAAATTTTCTTAAGACAATAGTAACCTTAATAAATCTTATTTATCAAAGCAATTAAAAGCTTTTCTAATTAAATAATGTCATAGTTTTATTGCATTTTTTTATTTTACAATTCAGAGCAGATTTTCAGTGAAAGGGCCAACTGTTTTACAAAAAAAAATTGATGATTCACTTTCTTCAAGGAGTCCTATTTTTTTTTTGCTTTTAGCTAAAAAAAAAACATCCCTGCCCTAAAAATTTAATTTCTCAAAATTTCATGAAATTAAGTGGGTGTAAAAAAAATTACCCAGATATTCTAGAAAAAAAAAAAATTAAATTTCTGAATAAGTCCTGAAAGTTTCATTAAAACTCCACAATTATTTGAGTTTTGAAAGAATTTCCAAATCAATGTGTTTTTCACTGGAAAAAGCACAAAAAAAACTAACCTTTATCTTTGGTCCACCACTGGTGTAAAAAAAAAAAAAAAATTTTAGCCAAAATTTTGTTACAAAGGGGTAAAAAAAAAAAAAAAAATACTGTGGTCTTTCCTCTTAATAATAACAAACATTTTAACGACAAAACTTTGTTTTTATTGAGTTTGGAGTCTTTTTTTTTCATCATGCTATGCTGTTTTTTATGCGACCAAGTGGAGGTACCTAGACTTAGGTCAGATGAATATGGTGGCCATAGCATTTGCTGGAAGTCTCTAAAATGCTCCTAAAGCCTATTCACAGATTCCATGTACCCTAACAACAATGGGCTATTACAATAGCCCATTGTTGTTAGGGTACATGGAATCTGTGAATGAGTTCAAATGGTTTTGAAGTAGTTCAATGTAATGATTTACCAGGTCATACCACGTTGCCAGTTATTGACATCACAAGACCAGATAAGGCAATGTTGTGGTGTTGACAAGGCTACTGCAATGGGTCTTCTGCTCACATGTTCCATGGAAGCTAAAGAATGCTGAAAACTTTCTCGTACCTCCATTATTACAGACATCATTAAGAAGCTATGGTTGGCAGTAATGTCTTTAAACAGGTATTCCCAATATATATTTGACACTATAGATGTCAAATTTCCCCACAATTTTAGAAATGGAATGTTCTATCTGCCTAGCACACACTAGTTTGAGCTCACATTAATTTGCCATGAGCAACCTATCTTCTTTGTCAGCTAAAATTTGAATAAAATCAACCATAAAATATAGACTCATTCTAAGCAAAATGCAACAAAATATTTTAATATCTTTAAATAGTTCTTGAGTTACAGGTGTTAAAAGGTTAGCACTAGTATTTAAGCAGTAACATCTGTATGGTGAGCCATTTTCAACTATAAAGGAATATACAGATTATATTTATTTTGACTGTAATGGTTTACAGTATGCAATGGTTCTGACAAAAATAATAAACAAGGCTGAAATACAGAAATTTTAGACACAGTGCTGATTTTGGCTGGCCATAACATCATATCTAGAACAGAAGCCAGCCTGAAATTAATTCTTCCAAGAGGCTGTTATATATAGAATATGTTTACTACTTGTTCCAGTCCATTAGATAATGCATGACAATTTCATACTGTCACAAATTTGGAAATTTAGGCAAAATCAGATGTGTAAATTTGCACAGGAACAAACAAAGCAAAAAAAAAAAAAAAATGGATGTAACTTTAGCCTAATGCATAGATTTTATGTAAAGCTGGAGTACATGTTGAATATACCTTCAGTATAATATATAAACATTAAACATTATTTTGCTTTTTCAAGAATCTGACATAACTACTCAGAGCTACATGTAAGAGGAAATCTTGGTAAAAGCATGGATTGGATAAAGGGTTTGATTTGAAATTCTCAAAAGGTTACCAACTGTGATACTTGATGAGGGCTAGAAGGTGCAATGTAACTATAACAATCAAGCTGGTGACACTAGTATGATAAATAGGTGTATAATACCTGTACTGTTTTACTCTTATGTTTTGTGAAGAGAGTAAACATAATTTATTTACATTTTAGTCATTTCTAGCTATGATGATGCACAAAAATATCTTAATTTATATATTTTAAGAAGAAATCTTGCATGTGTAATATATATATATATATATAAGAAAAATGGTATATAAATTTTTATATATCAGAATAATGTTAGAGAAATTAATGTCAAAGTGGGAAACGTGTGTATTTGGGTATATTGTCTAGCCAATTTCATTTAGTTTCTTTGTTTTTATTGCTTTTGCTATTAAAGATCTTACATTGTCATAATAGATCTGCCAAGAAAGGTGAAATTTCTAATATCCTGGATTTATATATTAAAAAAATATACATAATACCCTATATTGATTTCATGCTGTCTGCAATCTTCAGGTCCCAATTTTGGTTTTACACCACTTGTATAATATATATATATATATCAGTACGACTCAGAAGAGTTTGCAATTACTGATATTTTGCATTTTCTCTAGTAAAATATGCTTTTATGGACAAAAGTTGAATATTTTAATTCCTTACTGCTCGTCCAATATCCAAACTTTACATCTTAGAATAAATTATGAAAATTAGCTTTATTTTACAAAATAAAGAAAAGGTGTATTGTGTAATATATACCAATGAAAGTTCGTATGGCTTTGTTTAGATATCAATGTATGAGCACATTAATATTTAATTTTTCAACCATCATTCTTAAGATCAATAAGTCATTTATCGACTGATGAAGTGAGTTTCCTAACTTTGCTGACTGTAATTTTAGAACAAACATCCAAAATGCACTTCATGGCTCCACAGGTGATCCTGGTTAGAAAATTGTCATCCATTTTCATAAACTTGATGCTTTACCATGGCCCAAAGGTTCTCAATAAGGTTTGAATCGGGACTCTGTGGTGGCCATACCATAATCTTCTCCCCTGTAAAACCTTGATTTGCCAACTACTCTTGGGTGAAGTGTGCCGCATGACTGAGGTCATTATCTTGCTGATAAACAAGAATACTACGGAACTAATCATTTTGTGAATCCAACCAGGGTATGAAATTTTCTTTTAAAAATTGGCGATAATTAGCTCAATTCAGTTTGAGCCCTTCTGGCACAAGAAATGGTCCAATGAATGTCGAGCCACAAATTCCAACCCAGAATATCACTCCACCATTGCCTTGTTGGTGTTTAAAACACAAGCAAGGAGCTCCACCATGAATGAGCCAACCTCCTTCCCAACCATCAGGGCCGTCTAATGTAGCTCATGCTTCATCTGTCCAAATTACTCTTTGACAATCAATTTTTAATTAATTTTGATATTTTGGCTTTTTTGTCAGTAGTAAGCATCTTCCCACAAGCCATTATTTTAAAATTTATGATTTCTGCAAACACTTTTTATTCACCTGAAATATATAGAAATCCTTAAATAAATAATAATATGGAGATTTTTGTTAATTAAACCTTGATGTCACATTGGACATTTCATTTTAAATTGAATATATTCTAATGTTTACACAAGCCATTACAATTGTTTAAATTTGTATATTCTAGAAATGTTATAGGTGCAAACACTTTTGAGTCACACTGTATGTGTAATTTTCAATTTGTTTAATCTATGAACTTTTTCTAGTTTTCAAAATGTTCCCCTTTTTTCTTTCTTTAATTTATTTTTTTATTGCTTTTGTTGCAGGTTTGGCAAGTGCACTTCCCCAGGCACCAGGTTCACAAGCTATGTACACTGGTGCCCAGCAGCAACAGCAGCAGCCATATCTAGCTACAGGCTCTGCTCCACAGTTTCAGGCTCCTCCTCCTCCAGGCAATATGGTGCAATCTCATCAACAACCACAACAAATCATGCCACCACAAAATGAAGCAGAACTTATTAGTTTTGATTAATTTTTGTGTATTAGTTTTTCTAGCTATTCTCTTTCTTGTCTCCCCCCCTCTCTTGTTTATTTTTGCCTCTCACTCTTGTTCTCTATTCTTGTTAATGTTCACTTATACATTTGTATATAGTGTTCTCTAAATGTGATTTTTAATTATGTGAATGAGGATGATAAAAACCACTTCTATATAATTGAATGATGATTGATAAACTCCCTTCTTTTAATGTCTGAAGAATTGCTGTTGATTCTTTCCAATGCCTAACAGGCCAAAAGTGTAAATCAACACATTGACCAATTCTATTTTTTATTTATTTATTTTTATTTTATTTTTTTCAGGGGTGGGGATATTTTTTTTTATTTTTTTTACTTTGAATAAATTATAAAGGTTGCTAACCTGCCATTGTTGATAAAGCATAATTTGTTATTGACCACATTATTTTATTTTTACTTTTTTTGTTTTGTTGGTCATGTTGAAGAAAAATAACAATGTTTTTTTGTTATATACAGCTGAATCTTTCTCCTATTTTTCTTTGCACATTTTAGCTCCAATGAATAAATGGAATTGTCATTAGCAGATTTTCTTCATTAACATGAACAAATTTAGAGTAACTATGTTGTAAAATGATACTGAATGTGGGAATGCAAGATGGAATAAATATCAGAAGTAAGGAGAGGCTTTGAGTATATTGTTAGTATAAGCTAGACAGTAACTTCTGTCGCTTGTATTGTTGGGGTTCTCACTGTAAAATTATAAATTCTAGTTATCTTGATTGTTTTTCTACAGACTCTCTAATGACTAGATCAAATTATGACCTATACATGATTTTCATTACAGGAATAAATTACATTTGTTTGAAGAAATTTAAAACAAAATTTTGTCTTTATCAAAGATGTTAATTGTTTAATTTTCTTCCTTCTAAATATAAATGGAATTTGTTACTGATTTTTTTTTTTTTTTTTTCTGTAATTTTTATATTTTTTGTTAATTTATAAATTCCTTTCAGTGTTGAGTCAAATGGCTTTTATGAATATGCCAGTTTTTCTATTAAACATTTTTGATAAAATAATGGAATAGGTGCAAGCTTAGGAATTGCATTTCAAGGCTTTTCTAGTTCTTTTGTTTCAGTACCTTCCAAGTTTATGATAATCACTACTAAAAAGCTATTTCTGTAAATAAGTTTTAGAACAAGATAGGATGTTTGAGTCTTTTCATCAAGGGGAAATAATTATATATGAATTATCATGTTTTTTTGTTTTCTTTTACATCCACAACTCTCACCCTCAAATATTTTTCAGTATCTTTTTGTTATAGGAGATGCCAATATTATGAAAATGTAGTTCTTTACTGTTCAAGTATGTCAAAACATGTTTACCTGTTTGAAGTTACTATGAAAGGATAGGAGTAGTAATTTGAAGGAAATGTTCTCAGCATTTTCCTGGGCATTTGTTATAATTAGTGTAATATATAAGGATTAAAGAGGTCAGAGTAAATAACTAGAAGACACTATAAAATTCCAGAGTTATAATGAGTGAGGTCAAAAAGAATTACATGTCTTCTCTTATATATTCTTTTAAATAAGCCATTTTTCTTATTCAACTTTATTCATTCAGCATTGTTTGTATATAAATGATTTAGTTAATATTACATACTCTTATTCATATTCCCATGCTAGAACTTAAATTATGTTGCTTTTGAGATTTTGTATTCATTTCAATAGTTTTTACAGTACTTGCTCCTATTTACAAGATGGTTATTGTAAAAGTTCTAACATTGATCCAAGGGCTTCTACTTTCAATTATGAAAGCTAGCTTCAACATTTCTGAAATGGCTTTGTGCATATGATGAAGTAGTAGAGTTAATTACTTCTTGGAATATCTTCCATAATTTTAAGAATATTGCTTTAGTTAGTTCCTTTGTCATTAATCTTCCAGATAAAAAAAATCTGCTTCTTCTGAAGTTTTTTATGAGAATGAACCCATTCAGACATAATCCTGCTCTAGTCAAGCATGGTTAAAATGTTCCTTTTGCTAATGGACTTTTAATGCACAGTTTGATTTTGCCATTGACAAAATATAGAATTTTTAATTCTTGGATTAGTCACTTTTTGTTTTGTGTTCATTTTTATTTCTATTTCTGTACATTTTTTTTTTAACTGTCTAGATACAGTGACTTTCTGATGGTCTTGATATGATGGAAGTGATACACAATTCTCAATATGCTTATATATGTTTTGAAATGACTTAACCTTTTCTTCAGTGTTCTCTTGAAAGCTGATATTAATCTTTGGTCTATAAATATTTTACCTATATAGGACTACACTTAAGGTTACTATATTTTGTATGTAGGCATTTGTATTTAATACAATTAAATAACTTTATCAGTTTTATACTAAATAAACAATGTCTTGCTAATGCAATATTTTATATCAGTGTGGGTAATTTTTTAATTTATTTCTATCAGTGATAATGAGCAAGTAGTAACTTTGAAATGCAAACCAGCAGAACATTTTATTTAGAATCTCTTCCTTTTTCTATTTGTAAGATTTTCTATTTTAAAATTTTATTGAATTGTCCTTTTTTATTTAAATTCTTTATCTTTATATATTTTTACCTTTTCTTTCACATGCTTCACTCTTCCAGATATGTTATTAAACTTATTTGCAATCAAGGGGTAAAAAAAATTAGAATACTTTTTAGGAAAGGTCATGAATTGACAATATTCATTATATCTTTGCATTTGGCTAACTCAACTACAACACTGTCTTGAATTATTTACTGGTAGTTGTTGAGTGTATGAGCTTTTAAAAAAATAAACCTTTTTTTTCTTTTCTTTTAAATTGTTGTTTGCATTTAATAATAATATAGATTTTGGGATTTTGTAATCTGTAGTTTTTTTTTTTTTTTTAATCTCTGCGCTACATAACACTGTCCTGTCTTTGGTCATCAGTGTGTCCATGATTGAATCTTGCAGCTGTGGAGTTGTTCACTTTGATCCAAGCCTTACCCTGTCCTGTTGTTTGTTTTGGTCACAAGGCAGGCAAGGAATGAATTGTGGCCAGATATCGCTGGATTGGTGTCATTCAGGCAGGCCATGTTATAAGACAAAAAAATAAGTTGTGTAGATCAACAAGATTTATGTAACTGAGGTTTATACAGAAACAATTTTTTTGTATAAGAATCTACAAGCATGCAGGCTAACAACTATTCCCTTGTAGTCTAATTTTGTGACGCTTTGTTCTTCATTTCCAATTCGGAGTCAAGGTTTCAAACTTTAAGTTGGAGACGTCTTGGAGACTCCAGACAATAAATTACGGAATGCTGACGAAGCACTCGTTTCTCTCTCTCTCACTCTCTATCTGTCATCAATTCTTCCACTTTCATTAAATAGACTTTCAATTCTTCCACTTTCATTAAATAGACTTTCAATTCTTCCACTTTCATTAAATAGACTTTCAATTCTTCCACTTTCATTAAATAGACTTTCAATTCTTCCACTTTCATTAAATAGACTTTCAATTCTTCCACTTTCATTAAATAGACAATTCTTCACTTTCATTAAATAGACTTTCAATTCTTCATTAAATAGACTTTCAATTCTTCCACTTTCATTAAATAGACAATTTTCAATTCTTCCAATTTTCATTAAATAGACTTTCAATTCTTCCACTTTCATTTAGACTTTCAATTCTTCCACTTTCATTAAATAGACTTTCAACTTTCATTAAATATTCTTCCACTTTCATTAAATAGACTTTCAATTCTTCCACTTTCATTAAATAGACTTTCAATTCTTCCACTTTCATTAAATAGACTTTCAATTCTTCCACTTTCATTAAATAGACTTTCAATTCTTCCACTTTCATTAAATAGACTTTCAATTCTTCCACTTTGCAATTTTGTCAGAGCACTTTGCTCAATTTATTTAAGTCTGTAACAAGGCATGAGTCGAGAGTTCTCCATGGCAGCAAATCACATAGGGATCGATGAAGCAACCATCTCCTCTTAGTGTAATAGAAGCATGTCTCTGCCTCAGTTGCTACTGACAATTCCTCTCTGATCTAATGCTTTTATAGACTCTCACCCAACATTGATCTGGGATTCCAGGATTTTCCAAATATCCAATCAGAACTCTCTGCTGACTTGGGAAGCAATTTGCATGTCCAAATTTTGGAAACCCCTTTTCCAGAGAGTAGTGGTAACAGGGCATTGATCTGACCCACTTACTCCCTCCTCCTCTTATTTGTACCTTATATCAACACCCCTCAATGGGCGTACTGTTTTCTTCCACTCTATCTCATTCACCAATGAGGGTCCCTCAATTGGGTGGAATGATTAGCATACATTCATTAATAAAAATTCTGCCTTCACATCATCAGAAATGTTTGTTATAAAAGTTTTTTTTTTTTTTTTTTCTCATCTTGAATAATTATCATTCTTTTCTTGTCTTCAGAGAAGGCTTGACCAAACTGTTATCTTACCCAGCGACTGAATTCTTTGTCATTCAGATTCTGCATTGTATCCAATGAGATCTGATTTCTTTAGCGATACACACAGCCTCTGTCCCCATCAACATGTGATATAGAATCATTTCTTTACTCTCTTCTCTTGCTTGTAGCCATAAAATTATTATCTGTGATTAGCTTAGTGGTCTCTGTCCAAAAATGCCAACCCTGGTGGGTTCACAGGTGTCACCACACTCCCCCTACATCATCCATTGGACCTTACTTTAACCAGATACCCAAGTGGATTTCAGTGTTATCTTTTAGTGAGACCCTCTATTCATGAAATGAGAAAGAAAGTATATTTTCTTTTGTTTTCAGTATGTCCTTCAATAAATCTACTACCGTCTTTTTTTTTTTGTTCACTTTCGATTTAATTTAAGCCTTTTTTTTTTTTTTTTTTTTTTTCTTCAAATTATTAGCATTCTTACAGTGTCATATCTGTACTTATTTTTCATCATTCGTAATATAAGAGATAAAGATATAAGTTCTAAAAAAATTCCTAGCTTCA